AAGGCTTTTTTCTGCTAGGTACTAAATAAGAAAAGTGTGGTTGAATTTCATCAAACATCATTAGTAATTCTTGCTGTTTACCATACAATCCCAATAATTTTTAGTCACAAGAATTTATCATTGGACCAACTAATATACCAGCCTCTAACTGATGTATTTGTTTCCCCATAATTTGTCTGCTTGATATTATATTGATTTTTTTTAAGGAGAAATTCGCTCTTAGTCACTTATGGGAGTTAAAGGTTACGTGAACATGGTGCTAGCTCTGTTGAGAAAGAAAACTGACAGAGCAAAGTTTTTGCATAACTATAATTGTTAATGTAAGATGCTCTAAATTTTTCCTTTTCAAGTGTCACCTACTCTGGGGATAACTTTGTTCGATTTTCTGGAGACACACAGAAGATGGCTCAAACACAGAGTAAGTCTATGTATTTGTGGGTCACCACTATTTACAAAAGATTTGGGTATGCCTAATAACTTGCATTCTTTTGTGTTTACCAGTGTTTGCTTGGGAAGCATATGAGAAGGGAGCTGATGTCCATCTTCAGGCAGATCCCACCAAACTTGAGCTGTTACACCAAGAGTACAGAGTAAAGAAAGGTGACTTTGAACAAGACAAGAAGCTTACAGTACTTGAGAAGGTGAGAATCCTTTCGAACAGTTGTACATTAGAGAGGTCTTATAATCTTTACACAGTTAACATAATCCTTAAATTGCATTACGTATTTCTAAATACATTGATCATTGATAGTGTAAGCTATGTCAGTGTATTATAACTAAAAAATATTACTTCGTTTTTTTCCTTAGTATGGAGGTGAAGAACACTTGAATGCTCCTCCCAAAGACTTGTTGTTGGCTCAAACTGTAAGTGTTATTAGCATTGAAAGTGCCCTGTAGTAGGCAGTGTTTCTTGTTGCATGGTACATTGTGATTAATTGTATTAAAAATTGATAAACTCTGTATGTATTATTTCTTATTGAATTGTTTGAAAATAATGCCATTTTCAGGAGCATTATGTTGAGTACTCAAGAACTGGAAAGGTCATCAAAGGTAACACAGCTGTATTAATAAATTCATTCTCCCTTAAAGATCAATTTGCATTTGAGTGTCAAAGGTAATCCAGGGTTACATTGGTTTGCTTTTCTTTACTCTGTGATTGGTCCAGAAAACTTGTGCCACTCTCTTAACCAATCAATTACTGTGTTTGAAATTGTTCCTTGCAGGTCAAGAGAAGGCAGTTGCAAAGTCCAAATATGAAGAGGATGTGTACACAAACAATCACACAGTGAGAATTGAGAACATGAAAATGATGAAATGATATTAGTATTGTAGTTTTGATAATCATTACTATTTTGGTTGATAATCATTTATTAATTATAAATGTGGTATACTCCACATCAGTGTGTGCTTCCTTGCTTGTTTTGTATGTTATAGTTTGTTTTCTCAGTCCAAGTCTGCCTCTCTTTTCAGAGTGTTTGGGGTTCATACTGGCAGGAAGGAAGATGGGGCTATGCTTGTTGTCATTCCTTTGTCAGAAATTCCTACTGCACTGGGGAATCTGGTAAAGCTTCATCTGCAACAGGGGTATGATAAAAATTAATTCAGTCGGCAAAATAAACCATAAGGCAATAATATATCTGAGTTTGTAGTTTAAACAGTCTACTGCATATTTAATTTCAAATTTATCTCTAAATTCCCGTGCTGTCCACAGAATAATCCACCAATTACAAGTGCAGCAAGAATGATTCAAGAAGCAGAAGAAAACGGGAAAACATTACTTGAGGTTAGTTGAGATGTCACCAGGTAGCCTACACTTTACCAAGTGAGAAAGCCACTTTTCCTTTTGTTTTTGTTGATTCATTCTAAAAAAAGAAAAGTCTGTGTAGAAGGATGCTGGATTCTTGAGTTAAAAGCTATGGTTTACAGCTCCTGGTTCACTTGTGACTTAGGAATCCAAATGATGTCTGTCAAGGGGGCTGCTGTTGTTGTAATGGGTAGAAAATTGTCTTCAAATGTGCATTGAATTCGGTTTATGGATGCCACCATCTGAAAGCAACTCAGAAAGTGACTACAAAACCATAACATGCAGTTCACAAGCAGCTGTAGCTTTGGCTATTGAATGAATTATTATTATTTTTGTGTAGCTAGTTAACTATTGGTTCATACATCAGTGTGCGTTCATTGAGATATGAAGCACAGCTTTTGAGAGATTTGCTGATGTCATGAGCGTGCACAATAGGATTTATGAAGCACGCTCGCGCAGTTGAATTTGATTAGACAAATCTACTAGCTATGCTATAATAGTTATTGAAACATATCAACACCAAGGATGGGAAAAGAGTTGTGGGAAATTTTTACATCTCAGGTCAACAGCCATGTTTCAAAGCAAGATTCATAATAGTGCCATCTGTGTAAGAAACTTGGCAATTTTGAAGACAATTTTTGAATTATTAAATTTCTATGTCCAGTCTAAAAATTGACTTAGTATCACATTTTCATAGAAATGATAAACAAAACTTTTTAAAAGAAGTGGTGTCTGAAATGTAGGTACCTCTCTTCTAATAGTGGATAAGACTCTTAGCTGTAAGACACAGTTTTTTTTTTATCAATGTCAAACTTCCCCCAGCATGCATTCAATGGTAATATACGAGATTATATGGAGGAGGAACTTTAATGCGTAAAGTCAAGGTAAAGGATGTTAAAAAAAAAAATTTTTTTTTCTGCAGCTGACATTCTAAATATTCATTTGGATTCCTTAATTTTAGCTTCATCAAGAAAATCGCAAGAAGGGCAAGAAAAGAGAAAAGTCAGTTGATGAAGATGATGAGGAAGTTAAAAAGGAAAAGCTAAACAAGGTTTGTTGACAATGAGGCTCTTTATGATTGGGGTTTTAAACATAGTAGTTTTAGAAGACCAGGTAAAGTATAGATCCTTTGCCAAAGCTATCAAAGCTTTCCTCGATGAAGACACTTTGATAAGTATTTCATATTATTTCATATTCCATCTGTTTCTTAACAATACTGGGAGTGGCATTTAACAAGTAGATCTTTCCTTTGCCAGGCACTAAGAAAAGAGGAACGGAACCAGAAAGAAGCAGACAGACTACTTGCCATGGATGAACGAAAGAGACCGTACAACTCTCACAAAGGTGATTACCATGAGGTTACTGAGGAGGAGATGGAAGCATATCGCATGAAGCGTCGCCAGGAAGATGATCCAATGAAGGACTTCCTTTAGCCCACATTGCAATAAACAGGGTGCCATAGAGAAGGCTAAACGGTGACTTGACATCTTCCAAGCAAAAGATTATGCACTTTACCTTGACTCAAACAGTGTCAGTGAGTTCTAAGATCAACTTGCAACAGCAGTCACATAATGCTTAGTCATAAGGATCCTTCAGCAGATGGAAAGACTTTAGCTTGTGGCTAATAATTCAAGTCCCTCACTTCTTTTCTGTCTAATTATGATTTTAAAAAATGAGGGTGAAACTTTAGAAAATGATGCAGAATCTAAGACAGAAATCTAGAAAAAAATAGGGTCTGGGAGACCTGAGAGATGTACTTCTCCAATAGACCATTCACCACTCTGGAGAGTAAACAATGACTTGTATTGCTTTGCATGCAAATATACATAGCTAGGAACAGAACTTCACTGTGTGGTCCTTAAAGAATTGTACAGAGACACCTGGAAGTACAGTTAAGTGATGATTCATGATGTGTATGTAGGCAGCTCTCACAGGAAATCAAAGACACAAGAGAACATTTTTGTTAATCCTTCATTTGTACTGGTAAAAAAAACACTCCTGTAAATAAACAATAGTTCCAAGGAGTAATAATATGCTTTTATGCACCTGAACTTTGCCTTCAGTTTGAATAATGCTTTGACTCAGTGGTGGAACATTGGAGCATCAAACCAAAGGTCTGAGGTTTGATTCCTTACAGGGACTCAGAATTTTTTCTTTGTCCCATGCTTGTGACAAGATGAAAAAACATCTTTTGCAAAGTCCTTTTTTGCACAAGATAAATAAATAAATATAATTCAAATAGATCGTGATTTCTATCCATACTCTTTATTTCTATCAACCAGAAAAGGATTCCAATGTTTAAATTATCACAAATTCATCTCTAACAACAACAACAAATTTAATGTTAATTTTCCCTTTAAAAAAGTAACACCCTTAATTAATAGTTTGGAAAAGAAAAAGGGAGACTTCTGTCCTCTGAACCACTAAGACCTTAACTGGTATGGCAAATCTGTATATTTCAACTCTACATCTAATCAATAAATAACATCAATTTAAAATGATGAAAAAACTTTTTTGCTCTGTGGAAATCTAGAACAAATAGTTTTCCCATCTGTTTCCCAGTGATTTATAAATAATAGCAATTTAAACTTGATTTATATGTAATTTTTAAACTTACAGTGAGTACTGTAGGTAATGCCCCCACCACAAGCTGGTTGCCCTTCAATAAGATCACCATATCCCCAAAGGCTCTTGTCTCAGAAAACTTGGGTATCCAGGTTTTGAAAACTTTCATAAATAAAGTCACTAAACAATAATAGTAAGTCACTTATAGTACACTGGTTCTGATAGAGCACAGCTCTGTTAATTACACTGCATTTGGGGAAATGTATTCAGAACCTCCATGTTAGGATACAGTGTAGGCTATGATAAATTAATAACAGACACCCAATGCACCTTTGTACCTAAATACACTTCAAGTCAATTACATAAAAAAAGTTCTGCAAGTAATGATACTGATAAAGAAAGCTGAGTAGTTACAGTGCTATGCAGCTTCCCATGAAACTTGACTATTTAATTAATGGAATTATTAATCAGTTCTTGTGATAAATAATTTTTTTTGTTTTTAAGACTGAACAAACATTCAGTTAGCGGTGAAACAGATACTTTTTCTTCTTCATAATGTTTATTGCATTTGCATAATAATATAGCTTTAAAAAGCAATGTTCAAAGAAATACTTCCAGGGTTTTCAAGAGAAGCAGGGTGTGAAGTAGATCTAGCAGACTACTTGCTTTTAGCCTTATCATAAACATCATTGCATTCTTAACATAAATGTAGTTATCTTCAATTTCTTTTCAAATAGATTGAATTTTTGGAACAGCAAAGCAACATAAAATAGAAAACATCCCAAAGTGCAGGAGAAAGCTACTACAAGAGTCAAGAACTTCAAAATTTCCCCAGAGAGTCTGGACCTCCCTGGGAATAGAAGGCCCTCAACTTTGAAAACTACCCACTCAAAAGAGACCTCTCAACATCTGATTAATTTAAATTCTTCTTTAAATTGTTTAATTCCCTGTTGAAGATATTTTTACTGTATGCCAATCAGTTCTGTAATCGGTGGAGCTTTCACCATAAGCTCATCATAATTGTTGTAAAATTTTGACAGTTGATTCATATAAGTGGCTTCATTATATGGAAGGCTATTATTCTTAAGGTAGCTGGACACCACAGGCTTGATTTTCAGGCACATGTTATCAGACAGTCGTGGAAATAAATGATGTTCCACATGGCAGCTGATGATGGAATGGCCAAAGGAATAATCCAGAAGTGGATTTCTCGGCAGATTGAGAGCTGCTGAAGCTAATTGGTAGAGTCGTCTTGGGCGTTTCTTTACATCATACATGGGCAAACCAATGTGCTGGAAGATATTCACATGGATGTATGGAATGGCAAATACCGAACGAGTAGTGATCATGCAAAGGATGGTGCCCAAAAGGGACAATCCAGCTAAGTACCGGAACAAGCAGAAGTGCATGATGTAGCCAGCTGTTGCTATACAGAGAAACCTAGCAATTGAATACCAGCGTCCAGTGAGCAAGGTTATGCCTATTGCGGTGTTGAAGAGTGGCATGGACAGTGGAGCAATGAAGAGGTATGTAAAGCGGCCCAAGAATGGTGCTCGCCATGAGCTAGAATCACCCAAACCAATCACATTAGTGTAAGGGTGATGTAACTGAATATGAGCCTCAAAGCTGCCTTGTTCTGTAAAACCTCCCCAGATCTCAATGAAGAACACAGACAGAAGGCGGTTGAAGAAATGTGATGAGCCTGCCAAGGCATTGTGTACAGCTGCATGGGCCAGCTTCACTGTAAATGTGGCATGGACATAGGAGAACAGAAGATAGCCAGTTGCAAACAAAGGTATACAGCCAGATCCAATCAGAAAAAGACTGATAGGAAGAAGTGCAAAGTTTGCAAACATAATTGTTAAGTCAACACCATAGAGGTCCCACCAAGTACTATGTGAGACTACGTCTTTGACCAGTAAGTTGAGTTGTTTCATGGATGGCCTATTCTGCGACATGTCCTCATCTTTCTTGTCAGCCTCCATCAAAAATTCTTCAGCCACATCATTCTTTTCATACGGGGGCATGGCTATTGCCAATCTGACTGTTAATAATAGGGGGATGACTTCTGAAAAACAATCGTAAAATAATTAAACTGGGAATGACTTCTGAAAAACTATAATAAAGTAATTGAGTTCTTAACAGGTGTCTTGTTCCTTTCACCAGTTTACTGAGAGATTTGATGATGACCTGTTATAAAATTAGCATTTCAAATGAGTTATTGGTAAAAAAATAAATTATGAATTTCTCCCTTTTTGCTAGAATATTTTCTAGAAGAGAACATGTTGACACTATTATGAATAGTATGTGCTGGAAAATTTCCCTTTACTTACGTGCAGCAAAAGGTGTGACATGTATTACCTAACGCATACTTTCTAGTCTAAAAATCTAACTCAAAAAAGCACAAAAAAAAATTTCAAAATACGTGTTAAGTAATAACATGTAGACTTATTTAGTCTTGTGAAATTTATAGCAGATTAAACACCTACAAAAAAAAGAGTTTGAAGCAAAATTAAGTAGCAGAGCTTAAAGTAAAGAGTTTCTTTTACTTTGGTAGCGTTACTGTAAAGCAAATTGCATAAAAATCTGCAAGAACAGTCTTTGTTTACAAGCTGTAATCCACAGAAAGCAACAAGGTGATATTGATATGCCTTCGGGATGCCTAATGACACCCGAAAAATTCTCAGGTACGAAACTGTACCTTTCAAACATCAATAAGAGAGTGACTGCTGATTTATATTCGGTGTTCAAGCAACAAGTAAATATCCTTTTTTGGAGCCAAAGAAATTAAAAATGTCACACAAGTGATGACATTTTTCTCAGTGCAAAGCAAATATTACGCAAGTTCTTAATGTTGCCGTGGAGCGTATCTTTATCCAGTAGAGTTCGCATTAATTTTACATTTTGTAACTAAATCGAGTTTCCTTTGCGCCCCTGGCGGAAAAATCCTACATACCTAGTGACGTCCAGAGTGGAAGCTCGTCGCTGGTCCGGGAAAGCTCCCTGGAGTAATATTTGTTTTGATTTGGTAATTAGGTTCAAAGTACGGATTCAACCGCGAAGGACTGGGAATTTGAGGAGACGATACGTTGGGCCATACATGACAATAGTGAAATGGAGGCAAATCTGAAAAAATGCCGTCGTGTGTTTTGTGCGATGGAGAAGTCTTTGACTGTATTGATGGACTGTATTACTGCCAAAGCTGTGGAACTCAGTCTCAGGTAACCACTTCAAGCTTTTCCTTTGCGTTAAAATGTCTTTCACGATCGATACAAGAACTGTGTTTCACTGAGGCCCACAATTGTCACGGCATTAACAAATACCTCACAGCAAACTCCACAACAAAACCAAAAAGCTCCCGGCTTCTTCAGTTAGAATGAAATTGTCCTTTTTCCTGTCTAAATTAACCACCGCTGTATACGAACACAAGTGACGTATTGGTTTATGGTTAGCCATGACCTAAAATAACATATCCTCAAATTCGGGCGAAAGATTCCTGAAATTTATGAATTAATTTTATGTTGGTTTTCATGGTGGCAAGGATGTAATTTTTTCTAATGGCGTAATCAATTGGCCAGCAGGGGCATGGGTAGGGAGTTTTCAATCCTCAGAGGTGAGAGTTGATAATTAAAGTTCGCTGTTATGGAAAATTCACTCATGACTAAGAGAATAACCTGATTGGCTTGACAAGGTATTTTGAACAGTTATAATGTGCAGTAGTAATTCTTCTTCATTTTGATTTCTTTTGCATTTCATCTTTAATTAGGATATGAGAGATGAAGAGGCAGCAAATCCTTATGAAGCTGGAGTTGATAGCCGATTGCAGGTATCAAGGAAGGGCAAAGGTGGAAGACAGAAACAGTTTTGTGAGTCAATTTCTCCTCCTGATAATATTGTTGACTTAAAAAAATATTTATTATAAATTAAATGTGCATTACTTGTTTAATTATAAGGTTATGTTTTCCACTCTTTCAGTGTTTGATAATTCTTTGGGTTAACTATTGATCTTTTTGTTGTTAATTAAGATTTCTCCAGTTGTTTTAAGTGATTGTCTCATAGAGAGGAGTAGCACTTGGGCCCTGAGCTGTGTCGGTTACAATAAAGAGTTTTTATTCTACATTTTCCTCCAGGAAAAGAGATTCTTTTTCATTGATTTTCTTAAGATGTTAACTTTGCAGATGATTATTGTACTAGTTATAATTGCTGGCTTTTTTACTTTCCCATATATTCAACAGTTGCAGATAAAGGGAAACCTTGGTTCATGTATGAAGCGTATCAGTACATCATAAGAGTTCAAGTGGAATATCTCATAAAACTTGGAGTCAATGATGCATTGAAGGTATCTCATTCATTAATGGTTTAATACGAGGAAGGAAAAAACTAAGGAATCACATAGTATCTTCAGTTGATTATTGAAAAACAGTGAAAGCTTCAAACTGATTTTTTGATGGGCATTTTATTGATGGTTCAAATTGAACTGAAACCTATTTCTTCCCACTGATGTAACCATTAACCATTTCTTTCACAGTTCTATTGCCTTTCTGTTTTTTTTGTTTTTTTTTTCTCCTATATTTAAAGCTTTTTGGTGGTCATATGCAAGAATACCCAAATTTCTTACTAGGCTATTTTTTTTAGTGTCAGAAAATTAAAGTATTTTTAAAATCAAAACAAGCCATCAGGGCCAATCAAATTTAACACCATGGATAAGATTTGGATGATGATTCATGTTTTGAGGTACATTTTCAATTTATTTAGCCTCAAGCATTAAAAAAATGCCAACAACCAAGTAATAATAGGCTACTTTAAAGTCTGGAAGCCTGAAAAGAAGGCCAAAAACAAGCCTTGAAAACATGAGTTTCATTTTCACTGAAGATAAATTCAATAGAGTTATTTTCTCTTTAAAGGCTTGGCACACACCCTCATCTCAAACAGAGGCTCAGAAATCTTGCAAATGGTGCACTGTTTCTATTTCACATCATTCTGTTGAGTATTAAGTGATCATGGGGATATTTTGCAGCAAAACCCATCCAATCCCATGTAACTTTAATTTCTCATTCAAAGTCTTCTTCCTCTCCCTAGGATGTTGTCTTCAAGCTGTGGTACAAGTATTTGCAGGTCACTGAAATTGCCTTCACTGGATCTCCTCAGGGAACTGTACCAACCAAAGGTTCAATTTTTTACCAGCGAGATGCTAATCTCTTAAACAGAAATCAAAGAAATAAGAGTGGACGCAAGAGAAAGTTGGATCCTTCATGTGAATCAGATGATGATGATGAATTAGAACTGTGTTCACACTTTAGTGATGAGGAGTTTTATGAAGGTAGTAACAGACTTTTTTATTGTGTTGTATTCTAGATTCAGCTGCATTGAAGATATGAGAATTCCTCCCATTTAATCCATGACCAAGAAATTGGATAGCCCAGAAGTGGATTGGATAGCCCAGTAGTCAGTGTCACATTGAAGATTTCACCAGAAGCCATTGAGAACTCAGTGTACTCATTTGCAAAAATTTGTAGATCTTCTATTGACTTAACAGTTCATGAATGTTACTCACAGGGTTGCCATGGTTACCAGCAGACCCAAAAGCAGTTCTTGATTCTGCTAACCTGTCAGCCCCCCCACCCCGCCCTCATGTTCATCTACTGTCAATGGATGGCTTAGATGATACATTTGAAATTAACATCTAGTACCTCACCAGTATTTTACTTTTTCATACTTTTTCCTTTCACTCCAGGTGATGATCCTTCAGAAGCATTGCCAAAACATGACGATGATGGCAATGATTTGAATCCAGGTGATGACTGGACTTCTCTCTGCCACAATAAAGAGATGGATGTTGATGATGTCTCAGACAGTAGTGACGACGAATTTATTGGTTCCATGACTTGCCGTCAAACAAAAAAAAGAGGAGTGTTGTGCGGGCATGTTACCCTTCAGTCCACCTTAGCATTTTGTTATCTTGGCTTGCTGTGGATAGATGAACCAGTTTTTATCAGCGACTTGGTGAGGTAGGTGTGAAGGGTGATGTTCTTTCTTGTCTTTGAGTGTTTGCTGATCACAAATGATTTTAATCCAACTTCATTCTCACAACAAAGACTATGAGTAGTCCTTCCTTTTTGGCCAAATTGGTTGCAAGAGTTAAAAAAATTTGCAAAAACAAAATTGATGTTTGCACAGTGTGCCTCACTCCCAGAGTGTTAACATCACTTTTGTGTTTGCTGATTTTTTAATTTTTTTTTTTTTTTCAACTTGTTGCACAGATTTCACCAAAAAGGAGGGACTACTACTCACGTATTTAACATGAGACTTGAATGCCTCTAGAAGTTTAAGTTGCATTGCTTTTAAATTAGGTAGGTTCATGTATTGAAAACTTAAACATAAAACTTAAACTTAAATGTAAGTGTTGGGTGTCATTTTTGTTACTCTCATGTTCTTGTGATTGCTTTAAGATTTGGAAATTTCTTTTTTTTTTCTTCTTTGAAAAAAAAATTTGCAAATTACCGTAACTTAAAAATATTTTCAAACTGACCAGTTCAAATGAAGAAGGACTTTCAGTGTACATGCATTATTTACCAGATGGGCCAAACAAGGACAGTTTCCTTACTTCCAGACAACAAGACACATCCCTGGGCACATGAAGTTTGGTTCTGGTGATTTTAGCTGTTTATGTCCAGTCATGTAAGTGAACTTTAAAGATCAGTTTCTTCACTTTCTTCATTTTGATATTTTAGTTTTTGAAAGTTGTTAAACTGAGATGTGAACACTAAAAATAATGAAAAGTTACTTGTCTGATGAAAGTATGAAAACAAAGTCAGGCAAAATGTTTCAGGTGGTTGGGTCTTTCGTTCAAATTTTATTGGCTTTTCTTATCATGATATAAATCTTCCTCTCACTAGTTATTCAAAATTCATTTACCAGAGTTCCCCCAGTATCGTCCATTCTTCGACATGCATCAAGGATTGCAAAGCTATTACAACTTCCGTGTTTTCCAGAACCTAAATTATCCACCTACACTGCACGTTTTATCACAGATCTGCATCTACCAGGTGAGAAACAGCTGTAGGATAAATTTTCACTGCAACCAGACTCTATGATATTTCATAATCAACGCAAGAGGCTCAGCCGAAGGTAATTTGAAAAATTCCTTGTTCATTCTAAGACCAGCACGTGGGGGAGCGGAGAGCTCTCGCCTCCCACCCGGGGTTTTGAAAACGATATAAAATAATTACCAGCCAAAGAAACAAAATCGACTGGCTAGGGTATTAGAAACTGCTTCTCTTATGTATAAATTTTGAGTTAAAAATATGGTCTCGGACCTCTCTCTGCTGCTCTTTTGTTTTCATTCAAGATGGATGTTTCAAAAGTTTTAAGAATTATACAATAAGACTATCAGCTTAAGAAACAAAGTGGACCAGTTAGAGTGCTATAACCTGCTTCTCTATTTACAAAATTTTGATTTTGAAGTATGGCTTCGGGCCCGATAAGTTACCAAAACGTTCGAGAAGTGGGCCCCTAGCGTCACATGGGTTGAGTTTTTTGTGGCTTCTCGTCGTTGTCCCCCACAAAATCAACATTTCCAAATTCCAATTCGATCTGGAAACAGTGGACAACGTGAGCAAACTTGTGAAATGTCTGTAGGTAAATTCCCTTTGTTCCCATTTGATTTGTAACCAGTAGAAAACTGAGCTCTCTGTATCGGCAATGGCGACAGCAATCTCTCAATGGAAAGATAGTACCGTTAAGGTAAAGCTATTATTTCTGTTAAGCACGCTGACTTAAGATACCTAGCCTGCTTCACAAGCATATTCTTTTTATATATGGCCCTCCCCTTCCCGAGCAGATGCGCAAGACGTGCGCGCGGTAAGCGTGATAGGGGAGCGTCACTCACCCTGAACTTCCCTGAAAAGCAAATAAAATTAAATACGCATGCCGCCGGCCAAAAAATTCCCAGCAGTTGTCTTATTTTCACAATTGGATTGACTATTATGGGATTGCGTTTTCATCAGTTACTAGATCGGGGTCGCAAATTTTCGGGATTTTTGGGGTTAGAAAAATTCTGGTAAGGAGGGATTAAAAATGGGAAGATTTGCGGTTAAAAAGTTAACACAGTTGCCCAAAAGAGGCTAAGATGGGGTCTATCATTAGACGCAGAATAGATTATAATGCCGTGGGCTGAAACTACCCTGCAGTTGTCTTATTTTGTCAGTGTGTTTTATAACAGGTTTTCTTCATGGTGTAGTGCGCAAACTAGCAGAAAAGGTGAAAGTTAAAACCAAAATCCACCCAGCTCTCCAGACCTCCATTCCAAATCTTGAAGCTGGTGCTATGGCTTTCATTGTTGTTGCCTTGAAACTCTGCTACGGAATTGACGACAAAACAGAAAAGTAAGCACAAGTAAAACTAAATAATTTGTAAACAAAATATCTAAAAACGAACAAAGAAAAACAAAAAACAAAGATTGAAGCTTCAAGGTAGGCACGCATAGAGTTAACTTATTGAGGATCAAATTAGTAATTCTAATTTTTAGTTTGACGACTGTAGCTGGCAATCGGCAAATTGAAATCCATGTGGTTAATTCGGTCACAGCTGCTACGTAAAATGAGACTACAGTTGCTGCGTTAATAAAAAATATGTGAAATGAAACAACAGTTGGGAAAAGGAAAACTCGAGACTTTAGTAGCACAACGCTTAATTGATGGCGAGTATCCTGTTGAATTACCATTTTTGTTATGCTTCATAAAAACAACAAAAAAAGTAACACGCTTTTTAAACACCATGGCATACCGACTTGTGCAGTTGTTTATCACTTACAATTTGATTCTGACAGCCTGTACTATTACAAATTTTTTACATGCGCAGACGTTTGATTGCTGTGTGGAGTGTGATTATTTCAGGCCTTATCTGATCCTTTGACCTATAAGAGTGACTAACATCTAATTTCCCTAACCATATCACTGGTGAATCAAACATTAGGGTCGCAAGAATTAAAGAAATGATCACAAAATTGATTGTTAAATAAACTCGCCCGGTCAGTACCTTAGGAAATGTATATAGAACAGTATGGAGATATTGATATTGACTGACTGATATTGGGGTGTAAAGGGTCAATATACTTTGTAAATCCTGACTCGTAGGGACCAGGAAGAAAAAGCCATACCCATGGAATTAAGCTCAAAAGAAGGAACTTGTCACACAATTCCCCTGTTCACTGATTGGCTGAAAAGCTGGAAGCATTGCGAAGCCAAGAAATTTCATAATGGTATTCCTTGGACAGATGAACAGTTTGAACTTGTTGGTGACCCTACGTCATACAGCGCGTTTTGTAAATCGGACATTTCTGGTTCGTGGGAGCCAGCCGACCGCGTTTACACCGGAAGTCAACAGAAAAATTTGCGCGCGAACCGAATCACGAACGAGGAGAGCCAGAGCAGGTATGCACAACTGTTCAAGAGCTTAATGACAAGACAACGGGACGAGGATTTCAATAGTACGGACACGCCCCAGGTTACAAGTTTTCCCGCCACGTGCAGACATGTGGACGACTCTGAAAGTGGCACTGGAAGTTGTTTCGACAAAATGCGTTCGCGTGGAATCAACGTGGAATTTGTACATGGGAGTGGTTCAGTTGAGAGTAATGATTTGAAGTACATTTGTTACTCAGCAGACCATGCTGATCAGGACACTTATTTTCATAGTTCGTACAAAGAGCTGTTGGGTGTTTTGGCAGACCGCATAGAAATGAGGCCAGCGGATGTACAAACTAAAGTCCGAAAACTAGAGAAGGCTTTGTTTTTTAAACAAAATCTTATTAATGGAGTGTTGTGATCGACTCAAACTGTTGCAGCGTTTAATCAACAGAAGAGTACTTATCATTTAGTAAATCTGTTCTTTCCAAAGCAGGGAGACTTCTTCTTAGGGAGGTTGGCGCTTGTTTTTTCCATTTTTTAGTCTACTAATATTCTTCTTGAGCTATTTATCTATTGATGTAAGTCTCCTCTGGTAAACTCTTCTCGCGAACCTTTTGGAAATTTCAAAATTTGAGACGAGTGACTTTCTTTTTTGCCTTAAATGATATTTTTAGAATAAGAAATTTATTATGTGAAGATGTTTCTATTTTTTTCCTTTTCTTCTTTCTGTCTTTGTGCAGAAATCTCGAGCAACCCTCCTAATCAATCAGATGCAAAGTCAGGATAAAAAAAACGACTTGCGTTTTTCGGCGCCAACACTCCTTTATTTTGACTGGTCATCGAGATTACTTTACTGGTTTTTAGAGTTATGACACTTAAGCCAAACGCCTGCGGAAGCAGTTTGACAAATCTGATAAAGTCAGAAATATCACCCCGCTCCAAACAAATCGTTGTCTGATACGTAGCTGCTTCGTGAACATTGTCACTTAAATACCATGAGAACAAAGACCTTTTTTTTATTTTCATGAAAAGAAAAAGATGCAAAATACTTTATGTCGGTAAACTTGACTAATAAACAGTGAATACAAGAGGGCGATGGCTAGTCATAATTATATCATTCTGTAGCGAGAACTTCACCAGAAAGAGCATAAATATCTTTAAACATCCCTCATAAAATCTCTACATTTAACCTCTTTTTACAGAGTGTATGTTTACAAACTTGTGACCAGAGGTCTGATGTGGCCTTCAAGTACAACTGTCCTGTTATGTCCTCAGACCGAGTAGGGTCAACAAAGCGTAATATTAAAACGGGCATCTGC